TAGTTGATTCTTTGATTGGATGACCAGAAATTCTTAGCATGCTGGAGTCAGAATCAATCCAGTCTCCCTACCCACAAGCCACCAAGTACTCTTTCTCTAGACCTCTGAGCCATTGCCGTTCCCACACTGCTCTCTTGCTATGTCCTGGCTCTCTCCCCTTTTGCTTTTTCATTGCCAGGCTTCTCTTCTTTGGTGTACTTTTACATTCTTCCCTTGCTCTAATACCTGGCTCAAGCCCCACAGTATCCATGAAGTCTTTCTTGACCATTCCTGTCCATAGTGACCTCTTGAGGGACAATAACAAGTCTCCTGGAGACCTACTTGTCTTTTCCAGTATATATGTCTTATCTCTACAGCTAGACAGCACCTAAACTTTACGGAGTACCTAAGCTAGATGGTATCTAAGCTCTTGGGTAACCTACGCTTTTGGTGAACCCCCTAGAGTCCCAAGCAGAGTTGGAGGAGCACACAGTGGACCCAGTATTTGCAGTCAGGATTATGTGAGTGACATCTCACAGGAAAAAAATAGACTATGACAATGTCAGATTACACAGACATGTTTGCTAGATAAATAGGTCAAAGGTACTCCCCAGTACCATAAGACTACAAATTCTATTTCCATAAAACCTGACTTATCTTCCATATATCCCTATTCCTGGGGAAGCCCCATAGGCAACTTGGCTTAGACCAATGGGGCTCAGAAACTGGTGTCCAACCTAGTCACTGAAGACAAATAGAAACAAGGTAAACACAGAGTCCAGGAGGCTGTTATCACCACATAGAATATGACCCCATGCATGCAGACACTGTGGGGAAATTATAATTCCAGACTGCAACAGACCAACCAGTTCAGGAGCACCTGGAAGGTCACAGGCAACGTCTAAGAAGAAAGCTGGGGAGAGGGCTCTTTCTTGTATCAAGAATGTACTTGACTGAACGCAGATTCTTTAGGGCTCCCCCTTCCACTCAAGGAACCTTTTCCAGGAGTGGAAGAGAAGGGCTCCAATATCTCATTAGCCAGGTCAGCCCTTGGCCCACTAAATGTACTCTTACAGGGCAAAGAAAAGAAAAGAAGAGAAAAGAAAAGACAAGACAATAAACGAAAAACAAACAGAAACCCCCAAAACAACAACAAAATGTCCATTTCTCCCCCCAAGAAGGAGCTCTTTTGGAGACTCATTCTACAGAAGGAAGAACCAGTTGAATCAAAAGAAAAGTCACAGATTTTTCTGAAGCAGCCAGTTAGAGACCAAACCACAGAATGGGAGATCATCTGGTGATAACTGCCCTTGGGGTTGTGAAGAATAATCTAAACAACTGATAGAGTAACCTTGTCCTCCTGCCTCTGTCCCTCTCTGTCTGATAATATCTGGTCTATTAACTTGGGAGACAATTCACTCGGCTCAAAATAGAAAGATAATTTTGGATACTGGGGATATTGTTTTGACAGGAGGAGACAGCAATGAGATGGGTTTGAAAGGAAAGAAGGAACAGATTAATTCCTGGGTGTAGGCCTGCCCCATCCCCACCTTGTGGATCTAGTTCCCCAGTCTGGGTGGTTATGGCACAAGGCGGCGTATGGAAGCCATTCAGTGTTCCTAAGGCATTTTGTTTGGCTTTGCCAATCCCAGCCTAGTCTGGTCCGCTCCCCTAGCATGTGGACTGGAGAGAGGGACTCACCACAGGTTGAGCATTTTCAGGCAGCTATAGAGTGTGTAAAGAGAAAAACACAGAAAGGAAGAGAGAGAAAGAGAGAGATATTAGTCCACAGAGGTGAGATGGAAGCGACTCCCTGTGAGCCATGCAAACATGCAGTATGTGTTGGTGTTTCGTTTCTTCCTCTGTCGAGGTAGGGTGAGTAGGCCCAGGTCACTTGGCCCCCACCCTAAGATGGAAGGGGCAGGTGCCTGACAGAAGCATTGAGGAGGGAACTGGATCTCAGTGAGGGGTAAGGTAGAACAGAAAGAGTTGGTGGGAGCCCCACAGCGGGTTTTCCTGGGCAATTTCCGGGAAGATAGCACAAGAAAGAGGAAATGATTCTGCCTGTAAGAATTCAATCAAGCACCAAGTGAGCCATTTTGGTTCCCACACAAAGTCTTACTGTGCAATGTTAAGCTGACCTTCCAACTATTCTGAGGGAAAGACAAGTCCCTAGCCTTTCTATAAGTCCAACATGCCTAACCAAGGCAGTTAGCTCTTCCTCTAGAGGAGGGAAAAGGCTTCAGCAACACTTTATTTTAGTAGGAGATGAATCAGAGCAAGGAGGGTCACTGCTCTGGACTAAGGTATAACTGCCAGAGAAGGGCCAAAAATCCCATTCTTGTTAATTCTCAGGAGAAATGAGGTCCACATTTTCTAAGTTATAGCTAAAGTCAGTGAGTAAGCAAAAACTCCATAACAAAAATCAACCAAAAAGCTGCCTTGCCTTACCAATTATATTTAAACAAGGACATGTGTCCCACAGCCAGAAGAAAAGGGCAGTTAGATGTTCACTTTGTAGAAAGAACAAAAACCAAGACCCTGTTATTTCTCTCCTCCTTTATATAAAACAAGCTGGGTGAATCAAATGCTTGGAAATGAAGGTTTCACTTATCTCCTCAGTCTCTGGTTGAATCTTAATATAGGCAACAGCTCTCTTTTTCCCACAAGCAGGCTGCACGGACAAATGGCATCACAGCTGCGTGCAATGAGGGGTTGTTTGGGACGTCTCGTGCTTCTCTAGCTGTGACTTCTTCCCATGGAAATGAGCAGGTGGATTGATGGCTACCCCCTCCTTTCCTCCAAAACACATAGAAGGCCAAGAAAAAAACACATGGCCCTGCCAGACAGTTCCCTGGGCAAGATGGATTGGTAGCTCATGAAATCACTAGGGGAATCAGCACACAAAATGCCCTAAGCTTTGAGCTTCTGGAGGACATCTGGTCAAATACACTTGCTCCCTTCTGGTCCATACATTTCAGAAGGCCCAAACCTAGAACTGGTGGCAGTCACAGTAGTCCTTTTTACTGAATGGGGAGACTCTGAACTCTCTTTATCCTAGAGTTTGGATCATACCAGAATAGAAGTCACCACATTGAATCTCTTTGTGTGAACAGCCCCCTATTTTACACACAGGACACAAACACCACACTCACATACACAATCAGTGTACACATTTACCGAAGTCAAATGAGAGAAATGGGTTCAAAAGATAAACCTGTATAAGGCAAACGATAAGAACAAAACTCTTTGAATCTTGGTATTCACAGTACACTATTAAATCCAGAGCTAAACTTCTAGCCTTCAAAGTAATAGCCACAACATGAATTGGGAGTGAGGTAGGTGGGAATGGGTACAGCCATCTTTCAAGCCCAGACAATGTATGAATCAGAACGTGCCTAGTGCCCTGTTTCCTGACCTTGGCCACACATCTGAATCACCTGACTTTTAAAATTTCCTGATGCTCAAGCCATAATCCTAAATAAACCAGAATCTCTGGGGACAGGATTCGGGCATTTGCATTTTCTAACATACCCAGGTGTTTCCAAAGTGCAGCCAAGGTTGAGAACACTGTGGATAAGAAGTACCATACTGTTTACTTTGGAGAATGAAGTTTTGTCATGGAAGCTGAAGAAACACTGTGAGTACCATTAAAATCTCCAAGGTCCCTGAGAATAGGGAGCATGTTTCCTTACTAAAAATGCTTTCCTCCCAGGATTAAAAACTCTCCCTGCCTTTCTTACTTACCAGAGCCCTATAGAAACCAGGAGAGGAGCACCTAAAGCTGCCTATAGTCATCAGGGACTGAGTGACTTGTGCCTGTGAGAGATCATCCAAGTCGTCCTTGGGTGCTTTTTATCTACTGGGTAGGAATCCTCAAAAGATTCCTGTCCTTTCCAAGGAAAGGACCTCTTGGAAGCAAAGTGAACTCATCATATAGATGGGCAGGACAGCAGAGGGGTGGGTGGGGGTGGGGGGACAACTATAGAAAGTATAACTGGAGGGAAGAATGCAGGTCTTGACTGGCTTCCCACCACCTTACTCCCAGAGATGTAAGCATGTTCTGGCTTGTATTGAGGCCATCTGGGGGCTCAAGAGAGCACCTAGGACACGGGTATCACTATTAATATGTTGTCTGCCTCTGACAGGACCGGGATAGCCTGAATATTCTCATTACAGGAAAGGTCATCTGTATCAGGCTTGGCAGCAGTTACTGATTTGTAAAGGACTTCTCTCTCCCTACCTCATGTCTTCTTCTTGGGAGTTTAAATCTGGATCGGAATTTGGGATGGGGCAAAAAGGGGAAGAAGTGATAGAAACGCTGCTTCTGCAGCAGAAATGGCAATCATTTCCTGCTATACTCTATATGCTAAGAGTTTAACCACACGCTATGCAGAGAGCACCTGGGGGCTGGTGGTACAGGCAGGGCAACACGTTCATAGGCAAGAGAGGCAGAAAAAGAAGTAGAGTCACCTCCTCCCCATCTTGGGAACATTGTGATTTCCTCTCCTCCCAAGACTCTTTTACTCACAGGTGTAGAGACTATCTTGCCTGACTTATTGGAGTCTCTCGGAATCCAGAATCATTTTAAGTGAGAACAAAATGGCCCTGAAGCCCTCGCTCTAGGGCTGAACATGCAGAGTTGTTAGCCAAGAACCAGAAATCAAATGCTGTTCAGTGTGGCCCATGATTTACATAAGCAGATTGTTTTCTGTATCCCGGAGGGACCCAAGAGGCTCATGACTACTATCTGTTCTAGCTCTTATACCATGATTCTTTGGGTTCACTAGGCCTTTTGCCTGATGTGGACTAGAACAATGTGATGGTCTTCCCAGAAATCACAGCTAAAGAAGGGCAGAAGCAGCCTTAGGGTACCATGCAAAAAATAAAATGGTCAAAGGAAGAAAGCTGAGGACACAAGCATGAGGAATCCAGTCTGAGATGAGCAGCACATGGAGAAGAAGAGACAAAGAAGATCTTTCAACCTAGAACTCAAGAGCCCCCTCGGAAGATGAACGTACTTAGCTTCCTCGACTACCTCCACCTCGGCGTGAGCTGTGATTGGTGCATTGGAGTGGGCTCCTGTGGGGTCATCAACATTCAGCTCTCCATTGGTTGAGCTAACCACCTGAAACAGAAAGACGGAGTGTGATAGACACCATGGCAATAGGGGCTTCCTGCCAGCACCAGAGAGGGTCTCTAAGGGAGTTTTAGTCTGCAGTTTAGGTACTGACCAGGCAGTGTCTGGAATGCTGGTTTTCCTGGGCTGAGGGTCCAAATGTCCTAATTTAGGTAAGGTTCCCAGCCCCACGTCATGTGAGAACACAAAATGCAATGATGTAATCCTGTAAGAACTTCCACACCGAATGCCTACTCTGTGTCAGTGCTCGGCTACACTGTGTGTAAATTTAATCTTCACAAAAAGCCTATGGAATAGGTCATATCACTCTCTTTAATTCTACTTCTCTCAGTTTATTATGCTATAATTATAAATAGACTCAGGGATGATGCTGAAAAAAAGTTCTAAAAAGGAAATCAAGAATGGGCATTAGAGATTATAAGCAATCACACTTCCCTTCAGAAATTTCTTCATGGCTTTAATCACTGGTTTGAAGTCACTCAAATAACAAGACTGCCACATCCTCTCTGGTGAGAGGACAAACGGTAAGGAAACACTCTTCCTTGGAAGACCAGTCTTATTTCAACAACCTTTATTTCAGGTTCAGTGTCATCCCATTTCTCACTGAAGGCTCACACTCCTGTCATCTGGTTAATATAGACCCGATCAGGCTTCTCTTGCTTGTGCAGCTGCTTCTGTCACCTGGTTTCATTTCCAGCACATGATTCCTGTTTATGTGGGTGCTGGGGAGTGGGAAAAGGGACCCCGCTGGACAAACCTCTCTGCTGTTAAAGACCTTGGCTGAAACATGAGAGAGAACCACAAAATAGGATGAATGGTTCGGATATCATATGCTCTTGGATAAGTAACTTCAGCTATTTGAGACTGTTTCTTACAGGTGGATGTGAAAATTATAGAAGCAAATGTATGAGACAGTATCTGGTACAATACCTGGCACACAATAGTGGAGGCAGCACAGCAAGTAAGGAACGGGCTCTAGATTTAGGCAACCCTGAGTCTGAACCCTAGCTCCACCACTTACTTGCTGTGGGTCCTTGGGCAAGATCCTCAGTCTTTCTGTGCCTGAGCTTCCTAATCCACAAAATGGGGAACCAGTGCTGCTTACCTAATAGGGTTACCGTGCAGACAATCCACAGAAAGTGCTTAGCCCAGTGCCATGGTACATGGTAATGGCCCAGCAAGTGTTCATACTACTGTTACTCTCCCTCCATTAATGTTTATTCTTACCCCCCTTTAGATCTGGGGTCCTCACCAGCAGCTAATTTGAAGAAAAAAAAAGTTTCCTGTGCAGTCATAAAGAGGAAGGCAGGAGGGTATGTTTAGTATAAGGGATCTTTGGGGGTATTTACTCAAAGAATAAAGGGCACACAAGGTAAACACTACTTACTAGCAGTCTCTCCTTACCATTATTTCTAAACCAGAAATATGTATTGTTCTTATTAAGAATACACGCTTAAAAAAAATTAAAACAATGCTGTATGGTTAGTCAAAGAAACCTACAACATTACATGTGGACTTACCCTAGGAATCTGCTAGTGATCAAATTTCGCACCTCTGATTAATGGAACCACTCAACCTTATTTTTCTCCTGACATAAAAAAATACTATATAACATTATGTAATATTCTTGCCCAAAACAAGTTTTATCTGAACTTTTGGTATGATGGAAAAAAACTGACAAACCTAAAATGCGGGACATTCTATAGGAAGCAAGCCTGGACTCTTAAAAACTTTACTTTTTCCCTTTAAATACAGGGGTGACTGTTACAGATGAGTAGATTAAACAACTAAGAGACTGAAAGAGACTAAAGGGGCATAACAACTAAATGCAAACCTTCATTAGATCGCAGACCCTATAAAATTAATCTTAAGGACAAATGGAAATGCGATATGAATTGTGTATTAGATATTACAGAATTATTACTCTATTTTTTAGGTATGACAATGGTGCTGTTGGTGACATGAGAGAATGTCTTTGTTCTTAGGACATGCCAACTAAAGCATTTTGAGATAAAATACAATGATGTTTACAATTTACTTTCAAACACTTTCGCACACACTCTCCCTCTGCCACCCCCATACTACCACCACAGAATTAAATATGACAAAATCTTAATAATCATTAATTGAGGTCAGGGATATACATGGGTTCATTGGACCACCGCCACCACCACAACTTCTCTATAAATTTGAAAATTTCAAAATGAGAAGGAAAAATACCAGCAAAAACAAAATTTGAGGAGTGAAGGTTTACAGATTAGAGAAGCACAGCTCCTCATGCTAGTGCTGTCCTGTTAACCTCTTCAGGCTACATTTATTTCTTGGGGCATGTTCTGGCTGAACACTGGTTGGTGGTCACGCTGGTAAATGTATTCTGCGAGCACAAGGGCTAGAGAAGAAAGCATCGTAAGTTTCTTAAAGAACAATTCCGGAGCTAGGTAAGATGTTAAAGAAAATGCCTTGGCCTCAATGGGTACAAATAAAGCAGGAGTCAGCAAGCATCACCACTGCTGACTACTTGGTGACTTTGGGTCATGGTGCCTGTCCACAGTATTTCAAGTGTCTCATGCTCTCTAACTTCTCCTTGCTACAAATTGTCACTTGGCCTATAAGCAATATCCTTGGGCAATCTAAGAAAGAAGAGGTGATCTACATTTTATACACTAGACGTCTTATCTGTTATCAGTGAGTACCTGGTCACTAACTTCTAACTATAACTAAAATATGCTTGCGAATCAGTGGCTACTTATTTAGGTCTTTAAAGCATTCACTTTAGGCTGGAGGTAGTCTGTCAAACCACTGAACAGCTACCTAGATGTGCAATGGAACAAATGCTAGTGTAGGTGACCAAAGAGCCGGATTCCAGGCCTTGCTCTACCGTCAGCCTCCTCTGGTTTCTAATTCTGTAAGACCAAGCCAACAACCTTGGTCCCACCTACTTCATAATTACTATGGCAAGTTAAAAATAATGATGTTGAAGAAAGCAATTTGAAAATTTGTAAAAAACAAAAAGACCAAATCCCCAAATCAAAACACCCTTATGAATGCAATAAATTATTAGTATTTTAAGCAGTATCATTTTTATACCTTTCCTACTGAATTTTTAGTATAACTTCATTAAAAAATAAGCTTATTTGTGTACCTGGAATACTGAAAGTTAACTTGTTGTAATCACTATCAAAATTAATCCCACATTCTGGCTATCTCACATAAGACCAAAGTAATTAATATCGTAAGGAACTACCCATGGAAGGAACTAAGGTGAAGTGCTATTTTGAACTTTAGTCCTTAATATTGGTAACATCTCTTTTAATAAGTAATTTAATATTTTAAATAAAAAATTTGAAAAAAAATTTGATTTAGTAAGTCCCATTTTTCAAAACATTACTATGAAGAAAAGTGAGAGCTATATACCAAAGGAACAGTACTTTAGCTGACAGTCAACATTTCAATCCTTCTTCTTACAACTAACATATTTGGTAATTCTGTACTTCAGCTTTCCTGACCTCAACAAGAATTGTAAATAATTTAAAATTATAATGATTTGAGCAAAGTAAATATTAGTTAAAAGTTAAATGTCATCCCTAAGTCTCATGCCTTTGCTTGGCCCTGGAGATTTCTAGATATTTCATATACATTTTCATTTAAACAATTCTGGAGTCATCTTTTTGAAAGAGAAAAACATACTGCCTTAATTGAATTTAGATCTTTCACATGTGGAAGACCTGTGGAAACAGTGGAAGGATGGGAAGCACGGTGAGGGGGGGTGGGGTCTGCAAATGAAATAGGTTAGAACGGGACTGTCCATGTGCCTTCTCAGAGCAAACTCTTCTCATCTTGGTCCTCTGTACTCCCTACCAGGTTTGTGGTGTCTACAGGTCATCCAGATAGGCTAAGCATGGTTTGAACACATTACCTTTGGAAAGTGAGACAACTCGAAAATACGTGGGCATCTGCTGCGCCAGAAAAAAGTAGGACTGATTTGGTTTGCAAAAAGCATAGCCTTTCTGAGTTTACAAAAACTGGGGCTACAATTAAAGAGGCAGATGCAGTGAGGAGCAGCAGAGCTTAATGTAATATTAGGGAAACAGCACACTTGCCTGTCCCCTATCCAAGTGGGGGAAGCTGGCAGAACTTAGTTTACAGGGAGTACAGGCAGGTTGCATTTTCCAAAAGTGCTGTCAGAGACTCTACGTGACTCAATTCTAAAGAGACCCCCTTACAGTGGACAGTAGGAAACACTGTCCAAATGGGTACCTCTGTGTTCTGGGAACACAAATCTAGTTAACTAAACTGTCTAGATATGCCTGATTATGAGGTATTTTCCTTTTAAAAATTATTTAATCTTTGTATTTTCCCCTAGTTACAAAGTAAGCATGTTTATTGTTAAAAAAAAAAAAAAGAGTATTAAAAAAGACTACATAAGAAAGTGCAGGTTTCCCATGATGAAATCACATGGACATGGCTAGTGGGAAATTCAGTATATCTTCCTTGAGAACAAGGGCATGCAAATCATTTACATAAAAAGATACCTAGTAAATATTTTAGGTTTTTTGGACTATACAGTCTGTGTGGAAACTACTCAACTCTGCCACTGGACATAAAGGTGGACATATACAACATATAAACAAATGAATGTGTTTATGTTCTAATAAAACTTTATAAAAATAGGCAGAGGGTGGGATTTAGCCCACTGGCTGTGTTTGCCTCCCCTACTCTACGTTGCTTTTTTTTTCTCATTCTGCATAAACTAACATATATGTATGCTATTCCTCTTATATATATATATTTGCATATGTATGTGAAAATAAGTAAAAATGGGGCCAAATTTCATATATCATTTTACAACTTGCTTTTTCCATAACACATCTTGGACATTTCCCATAATACCAGAGATCTCTATTCACTGTATGGAAGTATTATGTTAGTTAATGCCTAATTAATGAACATTTAGTTGCCTCAGATTTTCTGGTATTAGAAACAAGTGG